TTGACTCGGACCGAGTCAGTTCCATGCGAGTCGAAGCCCAGAAAGTGTTTTGGGCTTGGCTGATGTTTTGACTCCGACAGATTCAAGTGTTGACTCGGACCGAGTCAACACTTGGTGATGGGCTTGGGCTGATTCGTTCTGACTCGACCGAGTCAGAGTTCTGACTCGGACCGAGTCAATACTCGGAAAAAGTCACTTTCCAAAAGGGATTAGGGTTCCTATCTTATAAGAAGGGTATTGGACGCCGTCCTAAAAAAAAGACAGACGAAAAGAACCCTAAGACAGAGCAAAAAACTAAGAAGAAATCGTTTCTTTCATAGTTCTAGCTCCCGGGATTAGATCCCACTTCATATACTTCACAGATCCTAGCAGATCGGTTCCAAAAGCGTTTGGAATCCTTCCTGTCGGTGTGGATATGTGTAGAGGGACTGTAACTTCAGTCCTAGGTGATTAAACAGGCCCCGGATCGACTCCTACTTCTGCTTCTTCGGGAAAGAGGTAAGTATTCGATTCCTACGGTGATATACACGATATGTTCGGGTTTTGCAGGTTTGGTTGCGTGTGACGTTTGACTAGGTTTAGATCTTCCTTCCGCTGCATGAAACCTAGTGAACCAAACCCTAGATCGATATGATCGCATGCTAGGAACCCGTAGCGAAACCCAACATGAGCAACCGTGGCTTCTCGGGGAATTCAGAGCATGCGAGGGCCTGTCTCACCGGCTAGAGAAATAAATGGGCCAGTCCATGTCCAGTTATCAAACCAGAACCTCGTGGTTCTACCATCACCAATCTTCTTCTTCATAAAGTCCTTGGCCTTTTCCCTGATGTTGATGAGTTTCCGGAGAATGTTTGTAGGTTTACAGCTCCAATAACAAGTCGCCTTAAAGACATTCTTTTGCACCCATGCTACCCATAAAGAACTTGATTTGGTGAATAATATCCATATCAACTTTAGATGAAACACCGTATTAAAGTCTTCTAATCTCCTCAACCCAAGGCCCCCTTCCTTTTTCGGCATACAAATAGAAAGCCAAGAGATCCTATAAGAACCTGATGAACCCTGACTGCCTTTCCATAAAAAGCCCGAGCATAAGCTGTCCACTTGCTTTAGAAAAAACCGTGGAAGTGCAAATATCAAACTCCAAGAATTGACCAGCCCATATATAACCGTCGAGATCAATTGTATCTTCCCGGCATATGACAGGTATCTGTTACTCCAAGACAAAATTTTGTTTTTGATTTTTTCGAGTAAAGGTTGAAAATCAGCACGCGTCAGTTTCGTCGGTTTCAAGGGCACACCCAGATACTTGACAGGGAAAGCGCCCTGTTTTAGGCCCGTGGATGACGCCACTAAGTTAGCCTGATGTAGTCTTATTCCGCCCAAATAGATCTCAGACTTGCTTTGATTCATTTCTAACCCTGACATCTTACTGAAGCCATCTAAAATGCGCAGTGCCCCTTGAACAGAATCCACTTCTCCTGAGCAGAAAATCATAATATCATCCCCCTCCGACCTTTAAAATAGCCAGCCAACTCACCGTTGATGCTAACTGAGTACTTGGGAGTTGTAACACACGCCTTGATCCATTGGATGAACCTTATTGGTAGGTGAAGGCCATGAAGGACTCTGAGCAAGAATTCCCAAGAGAGAGTATCGAAGGCCTTTCGGATATCAATCTTGATCATTGCACTCGGCTTTGCCCCTTTGCAATTATAATCCCTGATTAATTCCGTTGCTAGAAGAATATTCTCAAGCATCAACCTTCCTTTGAGAAAATCAACTTGCTTATACGGGTTCTTTGATATGTGGAGATGACCTTGTAAACCGTATTACAGCAGCTAATTGGTCGAAATTCGGCTAGCAAATCTGCTCCTGCTCTCTTAGGGATAAGAGAGATAATAGTAGCATTGGACTGCCCTAGTAACCGGCCCGTGAGGAAGAAATCTGAGACAGAATTAATCAGGTCCGGCCCTGTTATTTCCCACGTCGCTTGGAAGAACTCTTTGGAGAACCCATCTAAACCCGGAGCCTTATTCTCCGGCATGGCGAATAGTACCTGCTTAATCTCAACAGCAGAAGGAATTCTGGTTAGTTCGGATGCAGTGACAGGGGAGCATGTGTACCTGAGGAGATCACGAAGACTGTCAGTTGATGGCGGCTCTATGCTCTTGTCCTCCTTCCCAACCAAGTTTGAGTAAAACTCGACTGCATGGGCTTTGATGTCTTGGGCTGATTCCAATCGCCGACCGGTTGAATCCAAGAGAGTATGTATGTGGTTCCGAGCATTCCTGGCGTTTGCCACCTTATGAAAGTAGGTGGTGTTTTTGTCGCCAAGTTGAAGCCATTTGATGCGAGATTTCTGTCGGAATAGTCTCTCCTCTGCCGCTGCCAGGATCAACCATTCCTTACGTAGTCGCTTTTCGCTTTCAATGTCTGTTGAAGTCGGTCGTTGGACTTGTTTCAATCGAGCCTCAACCTCTTTAGTTTTGTTCGACAGGTTATTGAACCTCTGCGTGTTTAGCCTCCTAAGCGGCTCTTTGATTGCTTTCAAAGCTTTACAAAGCCGGAATTGATCACTGCCTCTCCATAGATTAATCTGCCAAGTTTCCCTAATAACCTGCAGAAATTCCGGCACCAAAGTGAGATGGTGATGGAATTTGAATGGTCGTCTTACCTGCGTCGGAGTAGACAGAAAGTTAACAACACAAGGCATGATCGGAAGGCCCCGGTGGGGAGTATTCAGCATAAGCCCGAGGGAAAGAATCCATCCAATGACCATTACACATGGCCCTGTCCAATTTGAGTGAAAGGAGGTGCGCTTCCTGATTATTGCACCATGTAAAGTGCAGCCCACAACTCGGAACATCCTGGAGTCCTGTAACCTCAATGCATTCTGCAAAGTCTTCCTGCGCTTGCCTTTGGGATGGTATAATAGCAAGGTCGGATCTATCTATCTGATATAGGGCTTGGTTGAAGTCCCGAATGACTAACCAAGGTGACCAAGGAAGGAGTGGGTGGCCAGATAGATGGTTCAATTCAGCCCATAGATGTTGCCTTTCTAGCGCCTGATTGCTAGCATAGACAAAGGTCGATGTGACCGATAGGTTGTTGTCCGGGTTGTATATTCCGCAGGTTAGGGCTTTCTTAGATGACTGGTAGATCGTGACTAGAAGTGAAGGATCCCATACTATCCATACTCTCCCATGTTGGTCAGCTACATAGTTGCATCGACATTTCCACCCCGATGGTAGAGCAGCAAGTATTCTTTCAGCATTTTCCTCGAGGATATGAGTTTCAAGAAGGCCTCGTACCAAAAGTTTATTATCTATAATCCACTTACGTACCAAAATTAGCTTATTTCGACTATTGAGTCCACGTATATTCCATGCAAAAATCATGAGAATCCAGTTTAGAATTAGTGACCTCTCACGGCCTTACGGCCTCGACCTTTACCCTTATGCTTGGAGCCACCAGGTCCAGGTACTTTAGTGAGTTTAGCGCTAGGCGATTGAGTTTTCTCGGAGGTCACTTGAGGTTGTACCGAATTTAGTTGAACCCGATGATTATCCTCCTAATACTGGGGATCTGAAGTGATGACAGCTGACTGATCTGCTCCACTTTCCTTGGCATTGTCCTGAGTCGGGAGCGACTGAGTAGAATCAGAGAGTTGGCTTACTTCCCCGACAGGACGAGGTGGGGGCTCAGGAGATGTTTGCTACTGAGGAGCTGCCTGTGTAGCTACTGCACCCTGAACCAGATTTTCCCCCTGAGATACGGATTCTTGAGCTTTGTCGGCATGTGGTGGGTGAGACGGGCAGTGGTGGCGGTTATGCCCGACCTCAAGGCAATGTGAGCATGTTGGAGGAAGCCAATCATACGCAACGCTAATGGTTAGCTCCCTGTGATCTGGCAATTGAACAACTACCTGTCTAGGCAAAGACTGGTTAAGCTGGACTTCTGTGTAAATTCTGGCCTGGTTAAGGTTCTCTTTGGCAGCCGTGGCTCGATCCATATAGAGCGGTTAACCAATTCCAGTCCCAATTCGACTCAAGCAATCCGAATTGTAAAGAATATGAGGTATGTTGCGCAGCGTTACCCATGTAGAGATGTACCGTAATGGGGGTTTTTCCGGATTGTGATGCGGATTCCATGTCGTCACAAACATCGGACAGGGCCCGATGTACCAGATTTTTTGATTGAGGATACGAGCTCGGAGGTCAGCAGCGGGGATGCGGAAGAGGAAGGTCCCGTTGCCAGCCTCGTGTACGCGAATTCGCGGTCCTTGCTTTGCCCATAACCCATTAACAGCTCCGATAACACGACCTATAGCCGGGGGCAACCCGTAAAATTGTCCAATTAGATAATCTTGTCACTCCTTGGAAGATTCTTCCAATGATTCCTCTGGGATGGTTACCAATGGAACTCCAGAAACATGCGTACCTGGTGATCCCACTCGCTGCATTTTACGAGCCGCCGGAAAGAGATGCTCGCTCCAGTTCTTCTTAGGAGGCTGGGCAGAGGGGGAAAGCTGCGGTTTAGCCGCATCAATCTGTGGCAGAGGAGGGCCTTCCCCTGTTCCACCTGTGGAGGGCTGCTGCAGAGGGGGTGCGGCTGTGGGCATTGGCGGACAAGAGTTGGGCTGCTGCCGCACAGGGTTCGAGCTAGCCTTGAAGGAGCTAGATATGAAATTGTCACCGAGAGTTGGGGAAGGTGGAGATTTGAGAAGTGGGGGAAAGAGGCACAGAGGAGTGGACGAAGCACGCTCGAAATCGGAGTTCGGGCGAGAAGGGGGCGAAGGATGAGAGGCGATTGGAGGCAAGCCGAGAAGGCTCGGGGATAGAGGCGCGGACGAAGAGCGTAGTCGAGGGGCCATGGAGTTAGGTGGGGAATCTTTGGTAGGGCGGCTTGGTCGATTTGGTGGTTTTTTTTCCGGCCGACAGTGGCCGGCCGGGGGTGGTCC